GCCAGCAGTGATACCTTGCTGGCTTTGCTGGTTGTGTAAGCAGAGAACAGGACTAAAATGTGAGTGCTGTGGGTGTCTCGTGCAGCGGAGCGGAGCCACACGGCCTCTCAGTGGCTGTCTCGTAGGGTTGCCTGTGTCAAAGAACTTGAACTTCACTCAGATTTGCTTTGTCATCCTGACTTTGGCTCTAGCCGCTTTCAATTTCCTTTTAGTTTCGGGAAGCTTCTTTTTCATTCTGTAGTGGAAAGGCCAAGAGGTGTCCCGACACGTGAAAGGGCTCACCCCAAACAAAACCCGCCGCACGTTGATCGAAACGGTGGGAGCGGGACGGTGGGTTTGTGAAAATCTGGTCGGAAAAGGGTGGCAAATCTGGTTTTCGGCATGTGTTCTTCTTTAGTTAGCTTTTAAGTAAAGCTGTGGAGGACTGGAGTTGTTTCCCAATGGCAAAGCAAGCAATGAAATATGACACAGGGAGGGGAAGAGGGTTGGCAGAGGGCCTGTGTGCACAAATAGCCCACTACCTCTTGAAGCGTATTTACAGCCAAGCAAACAAAAAACAGCACAGGCTGCCTTACAAAGAATTACAGTAGAAATCTGCCCCTTGGAACTTTTTAATTTTTCTGCTCAATGTCAATAAAACGTCATTACTACCAATTCCAGAATCATAACTCCCAAGGTGATGTGCTATGTCCGAAAATGTATTCACGTAGTGGTGGATTAGGAAGGGAAAAAGCTGTGTTGCTGTCTTTTGTAGCTCTTAGAGTACCTTTTGCCTCGGATGGCTGTAATACAGGAAGAAATCCTAGTGAAAACTAAACTCTAGATCCTAGTGTTAGCTGGTTGAGCGAACAGGAGTCTCTTGGCACAGCCCTGCTGTGAGTTATGTAAATCTTGTGCAGTGTATAAGCAACAGGCGGTTGGTGACGTAAAACTGAGCATTTGTCTCTATTTATTGGCTAATGTGACATGCACCCTTCCTGTAGCATTTGACTGAGCTGGCTGTATTAAATATAGCCCTGACACTCCTCAGTAGAAAATGCCTCGAGCTGAATAATGGGTTCTGGTCTGAAATTCATTGTTCCAAACAGGGAAATCTTACACGGTGGCTCTTTTGTCTCCTCTTTGTACCAAAGTCCATTCCGTGTCGATGGCGAAAGGTCTCGCCGTGAGGCTCGGTTTGCGGGATTTGCCCATCGATCGCCGTGGCCATGTTGTGCAGAACATTCCTCCGGTGCCTCCGAACGCTTTGGCTGCGCGCTGGGAGACTTAGCAGGATGTCAGTGACTCCCGTGGTTACCACAGCGTGATTATCTTCTGTCATTCGTGATGGATTACCAAACTGATGCATCTGTTGTTTAGGTCCTCACCCACCCGCCCCCGTCGCGAGTGGCTCACAGATCTGCCTAATATTGCTATTACCCCCTTTGACACAAGCTCCAGTGCTATTTGCTGCTACACTTTGGGTCCCCTCTGTTTTCTGTGAGGAGAAAGCAGTGATACTTCTCCCGTGTATTTTGATTTTTCCCAGGATTTTTGGTTTTTTTTTTTTTTTTCCCCTTGAACACTGTAGGAATTGAACAGGAGGCAGTTTCCTTGCTCACCGTTTCGAGCCTCTTTCCAGCTGGCAAGCAGTCCAAAAAGCCCTATGTTTGCTCTTTCTCAGGGTCAGACTGCAAATGTTTCTCTTGCTTTCACCTTGCCTTTCTGGCTTTGGCTTAGACACATGACACTCCACCACACAATACAAACCCGCAATATATCGCTGTACCTAAATGGTGCGGCTTCTGACTAGCCTTCTGCGTGGCTTTGTTTTAGGTGGTGGTTCCCAGTTCTTGAAGGTTTGGGGTTTGTTGGGGGTTTTTTTCCAATCCTGCTCAAAAAAGCAACACAGACTTTTGTAATCGTCACCAAAAGGCAGCTGTTATGCCCATTGCATTTGGTGAGATTTTACCCATCTCCGTTCTCACAGCACCTACTCACAACATGTAAATTAGGGCCACAACCTCACAGACATGCGTAAACAGAGGAATTACATGACTTGCCAAACACTTACATAATAACTTAATAGTATATCGTGGAACGGCAGCTAAGACTCATGAATCCTCTTCCTGTCTGACTGTTCCTCTTTTCAAATTAATTATCGTATGAGTTTCAGCTACACCACAACTCAGGAATCAATAGCATTTGTGGCTTTCTGAATGCCCTTAATATATCACAGGCTTCCACTGTCATTGCCTTTGTTCAGTAGGAACTTCTGACTCAGATGATTTGTAAGTTGCTTTGAGTTGTGACTATCCAGAGCTGAGCAGACACTTTAATCATTAATAAATAGTCTTAGAGTGCTCGTGGCTCATACATGACCGTGTGTTTCCAAAGCAGCAAGGTCTGTGTTGTTATCCATAGCTGCTGGTGCCCTTTGGCCCTGAGAGTTATCGTAGAGCATTCGTTGTGTTTTGTTCGTCTTGTGCACCTTTTGTGCCAAAATAGAACGGAGAGGTTCAGTCTGTTTGAAATTACCTCAGGAAACAAGGCTGGTATAAAGAAACTGCCCTGTTGTTTACGTGCTGCTGCGTAGCACTTCCCTCGGTATCTCTTGAACTTTTTGGCAAATCTCATGAAGAGCTAATGGGCTAGAGATCTCCAGGGCTTGTAAGTTCCAAGATTTCCAGTGAAAAGAAGAAGCAGAGTAGAAAAGTGGTCTGAAATAGTGTCCCTGGCAAGTAAAATGCTTTATTTTGAGCTCTGTTATCTTGGAGAATCCGTGTGTGATAGAGCTAAAAGCTTTAACGAAACATGAGCAGCAGAGCTAATACAGTCTGGATAATATTTTTGCTTAACTGTGTTCAGGATGACGTATATAAACCTGTGAAAAGGACTTGACCCACCTGTACTTGAGGTTGTAATCGAATTTTTTTGCTTTCTAGGAATCTACAAGCCGCCATTGGAGCCTACTATGATTTCGAGAGTCCAAATATCAATGTACCCTCCATGTCCTTTGTTGAAGATGTCACCATAGGTGAAGGAGAGTCCATCCCTCCTGATACCCAGTTTACAAAAACATGGAGGATACAAAACACAGGTAAGGCTTTTAGACTGTAGCAAAACCCGTGTAGTGTGCGTTAGGTGACAGCAGGGCAGATCCAGTTGTGGTTGGTTTGGGTATTTTTTGGATCCGAGTCACAGAATGTTAGGGGTTCGAAGGGACCTCTGGAGATCATCGGGTCCAACCCCCCTGCTAGGGAAGGTTCTCCTAGAGCAGGTTGCCCAGGACTATATCCAGGCGGGTTTTGAATATCTCCAGGGAAGGAGACTCCCCAGCCTCCCTGGGCAGCCTGTTCCAGGGCTCTGCCAATCTGAAAATAGATTAAGAATCCTCAGCTAGTCACGTTTCTGATCACTTGATGCAAACAAGTGAATATGTTTTTAAGTCAATGAAGAGATGGCTTTTAGTCTCAAAGCCTTTTAGCTCATGACCAGGCTATATATTACCACTACCCTTCACCACACCATTTCTCTGACCGCCCCTGTCGTTTGGTCATTGAGCATTCTGTAGAGCTGTCCTCTCGGGAGAGGCAGTGATGCAGTGGTCGAACTCTGAGAAGAGGTAGCGATGCAAGGGTGATAGGGCAGGTACCCTTTTTAACATGGCTTTGCCAGAATTGCTTCTTTATGCTCTGAGAGGATGCAAGGCTGGAGAGACCACATTCCAGTATGAAATAAGTCAAAACAGTGACTGGAATCCAGGAAGTGAGACTAGGCGAAATACCTTCTCAGTGCTTGATCTGTTGGGATGTAGTCAGAGAGAAAAATGAGATCCCTGGATGCAAAGCAGAATACCTTGTCTTCAAGTGTTGTAATGACAGGATGTTGCATGAATGTTTAAGCTGTGTGTCTGAATTTAATTGACCTGCTTGCACTTTTGTGAAGAAGAATGATAGCACAACAAGGCACAATGTCATGAATCATCACGAGTAAAGTTCAGCTGTGTTAGTACTTCTGCGTGTAAATAACTGCAGTGCTCGAGTGCTGTACAGAGCTGTGCTGAATATCAAAGTATAACTGAGACTAAAACCATACTAAAAGTCTAGGAATATTTCATCAGGACATGAGAGATGAGAGTAGAGGGTGTGTGTGTCTCAGAACACTGATTTATAGAGACTGTATTCTAGTGAAAGGGCTTAATTATTTTAGTTTACTTTTTCGGCCTCCATTTGTTTGACTTGGTACAGTGGAAAGGTGACACGTATTGCTCACTTAAACTCCAGTAATGTGGCAAATTGACTGGCAATTTTTTAATAAGTGTCTCAACTGCAGGTCTTATGAATGTACTAAGTTTGACAGGTCCCACTTCACTATTAGTATCTTAATTTCTGTGTCTTGTGACTGCATCTCTATGTTGCTCCTTTCACACTCCTTCCTTTCTTGCTCCTGTGATGTACTCTTTTCCTGCATGCAAATTTAGCCTTAATTTAACATCCTAGTTTGGGCAGTGTTTCATTGTTTTTTTGGAATGTTTGACCTTCTGAAATCCATGGGTCTTCTGAAATGAGGAAAGGGAGTTAATCTGGACTCTACGAGTTCCTGGCAAGGCCGACATTTATTTTGGCTTCTGTGTGGATTAAAGCCTGACTTCATAAAATGTACATCTGTACTCTAACAGTGGTGCTGGAGGCCAGATCTTGTTAAAACCATGCTGTTGAGGCATGTTTTAGTTAAATGCGCCTTATACTGTGTTATGACTGCAGTTTAAGGAGGACCGTAGCGTTTTAAAACCATTTTATGGTTTAATTAAGGGATAATATCAAAGGACTGCAGTGTTTCCAGATAATATCTGCTTGTTAGGTAGATAACTGAAGCAAAGCCAAGGTTTTTAACAGCTCTGCAGGAACCCTTGGTTAAATGACTTTGGTTCTAGAACACGAAATACCTGAGGCATGTGTCACTGAAGCGTTTGGTGTCTGACGGGTATGACAAGCAGAGCTCTGAGAGGCTGTCAGTTTTAAGCATGTAAGCAGGAAGCTGGGTTCAGTCAGGTTTTCATACGTGTTATTAAAAACTAATACCCTGCTCTGATACCTTCCAGGACGGTGCTCGGCTTGTCTGCCAAAAGACCGTTTGTGTAGTAGAACCATTGCTGAAAGAGCAGCAGGATTTAACAGACTTATTTCCTCTTCCCACTCCACCCCCAGCTGCTGCTGGCTCTGCAGGACAGTTACTACAATTTATCATCTCCTGAGAGATGAGTGTACTGAAATAGAATGACATAATCATCATTTCATTTTATGGGGCTTATCAGTTGCAGTGTTCTAGGCACCTTGCAAGCCTAAAGCCATTAAAACTGATAAAAATCACATAAATTATTTAACTAAACCCGTGTTGCTGGGCTGCCAACCTTTTCAGATGAGACTTCGTACTCAACTCCCACACGCCATCGTCTGAGGTCAGCTGGTCGCCCAGCTCCTCTTTCAGAGGCCTCCCTACCTCAGCACTGGTATCCGAATGTCCACCGTACTTGTTCCCATCGTGCTTTCCCTGCTAGACTGTGCGTTCCACAAATAAGGACTTGTCTGGAAAACCAGTCCCTGCCGTGTCTTCACTGAAGTATCCACAGGGATGAAATTAGCAGGCAGGCTGTGGCAAAGGATGCTCTTTGGGGTAACCTAAGGTCAGATCAGCATCCACCGTTCTCCTCTCAGACTAGACGTAGTGTGGTTCCACGCTTCTCGGTGGTGCAGGCTCTCCTTAGCCATTTCCCTCGACCTCAACCAAGCAGAAGGTATTTTTAAAGTCATTGGCTTAGTCACGTCATGTTACTGGGGAAGAAGCAAGAGAAAATTCTGCTAAACTGATTTTTCACGAGTCTCAGAAGCGCTTTTCTCTTTGTCTGCCCCAGTGCTTGTTATCTTTGGCGGAGACGGCCCTGCTCGCATGCAGTAACTGTTTTCTGTATCTCTACAGATTGCCAGGTCACGCTGTCAGTCCCAGTATCTGCAGTCTAAACATTGATCTCCGCGGATAAATCATATGTTCACAATCCTTTCCACCTTTGCACAAGGCTGAGAGAAGGGTTGCTGCAAGAGGGGAGAGAAATCCATTTAGAAAACAGTACTAGCTCTTCAATTATAGTTCAAACTATTAGTTCCTCCTGAGACTAACAGGCTTAAAAAAGAACGAATCCCGGAAAGAAAACGTTTCCAGCACTTTATAGTAATAACACGATTCTGATTGTCGCAAGGCTCAGGAGCTACAGTAGGGAGGCAGAAAGAAATGAGGGGGGAAAAAACCCACCCAGCTGGGTCTGACTTCGTCTTTGTGTCTGGTATTGGTAAAATACATGTGTGTGTCGGTTATGGTGTGGGGTTTTTTGTTTGTTTTTGTTTTTTTTTTTATTTGCAGCTGTTACACTGTGACTTTGAGAATTTTTCTGTGTAAAGAAAACCTAGAGATTATTCACATAGAACTATAAATTGTGCTGCTGCTCTCAGAATGGACCAGCTAAGCCTTGTCTGAAAACTATGTTCTTCTTCAGCATCCATTGCTGGCTGTGTTATGTGTATCTTGGTATTCCTTTGACTGTTCAACAATTGCACAACTGTTTTAATAAGCATGTTTCATCCAGTCTTACACAAACAGACACAAAGCTTTTCCTGGTGCACTGTCAGTAATTCTTTCTTCTGTTTAATCCCAGGGACAGAGGCGTGGCCCCCGGGGGTTTGTCTGAAGTATGTCGGGGGAGACCAATTTGGCCACGTAAACATGGTGATGGTCAGGTCCCTGGAGCCCCAGGAGATTGCAGACGTCAGCGTTCAGATGTGCAGCCCCAGCACAGCAGGAATGTATCAGGGACAGTGGCGAATGTGCACCGCCACGGGACTCTATTACGGAGGTGAGTGATCCCTTTTCCAGCACGTCAGGCTCTTCTTCGTGATATTCCCACCACACACAGACCAAGTGGACGCTCCTGGCCCCTTGCAGATGCTCTCCTGCTAACCAAACGGTGGAGGCAGAGGTCTGCCAGCTCAGAGGCTAAAGATAGAAAGTAGAATAGAGAAAACATCAAGTGAGCCGCTTTGTTGTCTTGGTCAGCACAGGACTGTTTTCTAAACGCTGGAACAAATTGCAGATTACACAAAGCTCTGAAAAACAAAGGGACTTGCACAGTTCTCCTGGAGACTCTTTCAAAAAAAAGTTGGTCCTTGTCAGGGTTCTTTCCCAGTTTTCCAGGGCTGAACATCGTGAACTACATACGGGCATAAAGATCTATTTAAGTGGTGAAAACCTCTTCTGGGAAGTTTAAGGCCCAGGTTTTAATAGTGTAACTTGGTGCCTCTATTGTGAACCTTTTTTTTTTTTTTTTTTGTGTTTAAAAACCTCTTTTTGATATTTTGCCTGATGCCTCAGCCAGAGCCACCAACATCTTCATTCGTCTGGAGTCTTTCAGTCATTTTTAGCCAGCTTTAGTTTATACCGAGAACATCTTTGTGTCTGTGTTGGCAGTTGGGAGCGTCCCAAGTTACATGGGTTTGAGTGAGAGATGTTAGCACTTGGAGTCAAAAATAACTCTTTCCAGTACAGGGTTTTTGGCAGAGCTGTCAGTAAACGTGCGACTTGTCGATGTCAGAAGTGGATGTAGCTGGTCCCCGAAGAAAGGCTGTAAATTCCTCCGTGCAGGTCAGAGGCCGGCTCAGCTTGCATTGCCTGCCGCAGCCCCCCCCGTGCTTACAAAGCTGAGGTTTTCCCAGCTGCTGCCAGTTTCAGATCTTACTAAACTTCCTTGAAGTGGCACATTTTGAAGGAAAATTACCTACAAATTGCGATCCCTTTGGCTACCAAGCTGCGAGTCAAAGACGCCCTTCCCCTGCGCGATAATTAATGGCTTTT